CATTTTCTTAGGCGCATCTTCATTCGCTGTTTGAAGACAGTGAGGGAGAATAATTGCGCGAGAAAAAGAATCAGAGTTATTTTGCCGTAGGGTTCTGCAATTTGAAAAGACTGCCATTATTTCGCCGCTATTGAGAAAGCTGCAGTGATTCGTGGTCTAAATTGTAGTTCGTTATACATCTAGTTTTGTGACTGTACCTGCAAATCGCAAAACTTTCGCCGCAATTTGATACTGTAATCCATTTCGGCTTTTGTTGGCGTGTTCCATGCTTTGCGAAATTTTGGATAAACGAAATATGTCGTGTGCGTTTATGCGTCGCAAACTTGAGGTTCGAGGTCGACAGTCCGAAGCGCTAGAATGCCGATCCTCGTGCGATATCGCTCAGCGTGTTTTTGTACTGTTGGCGTCCCGTTTGATGGCGTCGCGTCCGCGTTCAGTGTTCGACGCCGTTCGACGTAGTCGTAGATGGTTCGATTTTGCTAGTTCACCGGCGATGAACTCGCGGTTCGCTTATTCGCACTTTACAGTGGGTGCTAAGCAAGTTGCTCATCGATCGGAAAACTTTCCATGGCGCTTTTCCCCTCGGTCGCCTTGGCGACAAAGTGCAATAAATCGTAAAACCGGGCGGCATCGAATTGTGCGCCGGAGGTGGTCACCATCGGGAGGTAAACTCTCCCCCTCACTTCCCTTCCAGGCATCAGCGCTGACTGAGGATCGAGGCCTGGGTTAGGAGTGTCATTGTCTTTGCGTGAGGAATCACGCGTGGCAGCGTATTGGGCATCGGCGTGTCTACTCAAAACGATCACTCAGGCACGAGTCACACGTCATACGTACGTGTTTGAGCCACCTTTAGCTCGCGATGTACTTGCTCTGCATGCCGAACCACCGCTCGAGCCCATCCTTTACCTCACGGCTGTCGTTTTCACTCGGTAGCTCGCTAAACGTCACTCGTTGCGGATAGAACTCGCTGATCGACGATGCGTAAATCGTCTTCGTTTCTGGTATGTTGGAAAGTTTGCTGCTTTACAGGTCACATGCGAATCTTGTTTTTCAGCACGGACAAAAATGCAATTCTGCCGTTGCCGGTCCTAAGCGCGGATAAGAAAGGAGGACGGTTGAGGACGGTGCCGATGTTCCATAAAACTTAGCAGCTTGCCCTCAGTGTTCCGCTACCAAACATATCGGTTCGGTAGTCGTCCATGTTACAAAGGGCCGCGCAGGATACTGGGGAACAGAGTCAGACTGAGCAGTTGACGTTCATTACCTGCTTCTCTCCTTCTGGCAGCCGGGGCCGTAGCAGCATAACGGCTGCCGAAGATCGACAAAAACGACGACGAAAATACATACCAATCAGCAGTGGACTCGCTACCCGTTCTGAATGGAGGCAGACAGCTCTAAGCCATTATGGAAAGTCAGATAAGGTCTCTATAATGAATAACAAGGTAGTAGGGAGTGATGCCGCCAGTGACAGTATGCGGTCAGAAACTGAACCATCTAGTTCAGTGGGTAAGAGAAGGATCTAGTTAACGAGGCCGCAAGGACCGACTGGATATAGCTGCAGCCTTGTAAACGAAGTTCCGAGCTTTTGAGTTCTGAACCTGTGCGGGTGGAATCGATTTTACTTCCGGTATTGGTTTTTTGGTAAAGCCCCACATGGCTGGCAGAATCATTCATTGGAATCATCCGACTTAACTTACAACAGGCTAAAGCGTTGACACTGGTACAGGTCCGTGCGCCCAATTTGGAGGGGAAATATAATACCTTCCTTGAGGAAGTGCAGTGTGCTCTATCCGAAGTGCCGAATACGGAGTCCCTCGTACTCATGGGCGATTTTAATGCGCATGTCAGAGTAGGCTTTGACAAGTGGAACAGCGTGATTGAAAAAAACGGCCCTAGCGACCTCAACAATAACGGCATGAAGTTGTTGCGGTTTTGTGCAAACAACGGACTGTCCATTATGAAGACCTTTTCTAGCATCCAAGAGTGCACCAGTACACCTGTTACCGGGAAATTCTTGTGCACAGAAGTCGTTGATCGATTTGATAATCCTATCACT